GTTAGAAATAGGCAAGATGACCCTCTGCTTACAAATATTACAACACACCGACCTAATGTAAGGATATATATTGATCAACACAAGGGTAATCATGTAAAGCCAGACAAGTTCGATGGCACTACTTTAAATCTCATTTTGATGTATGTGCTGGTTTGAATGGTTGGTCGACCTCTGAGAAAGGCATGTACTTAGCTGTTTCCCTACGAGGTAGGGCATAGGCGGTGCTGGGAAGTCTTGCAGAAGGAGAAAAGTAATTATAGGTTATTATCCAGGTCACTGGAAGAGCGATTTCTGCCACTTAAACAAACAGAAGAGTATAAAGCACAATTACGAGAGAGGAGACAACGGGCTTCTTAAACATTGCCAGGACTTGGGCAGGACGTACGCAGGCTGGCCAACCTCGCGTATCCCACTGCCCTGATTGAGGTTAGAGAAACCCTTGCGAAAGAGCAATTCATTGATGCTCTGAAGGAAAGCAACGTGAGAATCCGCATCAAACAAGCCAGGCCAGTTGACCTAAATGGTGCAGTACGCCATGCCGTGGAGTTAGATTGATTGTATGTTGTTTTAAGTCCCATTCGAGAATTTTTCATTCATACAGAGACGTCACCATATACCGGTTAAGGGCTTCAGATTTTGACCTTAACTCGGCACTCAGGGCCATTGAGCAGTGAGGAATCTTTATCGTGCCAACGCCTACAATGACACGGGGCCTCGATTTTTAAGGTCTCATCCGAAGGACCCACAACTTTCACTTCAAAGTGCCGAGCGCATGGCGAAGGAACAGTTGCTACCCATTTTTTATCGACTTAGGTCAGTCGCGGCCAAGATTCAAACTCACGACCTCCCGATCACGGAGCCCGTATAACTGCATTTAACTCTGCTGAAAGACGTCTTCAATGGGTTATTTGAGAAAGGCCAACCAGCCATTCGAATCAGATAAAGACACAGTAACCACTCTGTTGAAGGTAGTACGCGACATGCAGGAGGAAATGAAATCAATCAAGATGGCTGTACAGAAGGCAAAATTTACCAAGCGAACATTGTAAATATAATTTGCAACTTTTGCAAGAAGGGCCATATGAAGAAAGATTGTTACTATTATCAATACATGCAGAAAAAGTCAAGGTTGAAGGTAAAGACAAGTCCACTTCTTTTCCCTGGCAAGGAAAAAGAACAGACAAAGATCCAAGTAGAACTTGGTGTCAGTCGGAAGGCAGGGGAAGCCGGTATATATTTGTAGCATCAACTGCTACAATAAACGGCACTAAAGTGAAGTTTCTAATCGACATTGTGGCAACCGTTAGCATCATTTCACCATCAACATTGCATTTTGTGATTGGTGATTCAAAGCAAATTCTCGACAAAGTCAACCAGGACGTTTTACTGCAATGAATGTAGAAGGGTCTATCTCAATTTCTTTCTTGTTGTCTACCTTGACAATCAACCAGAAATTTACGCAAATTGATGTTGGTATTGATGGTATATTAGGACTTGATTTTCTTACTTCCAACAATTGCTCGCTTGATTTGCCAAATTCTTCTATGCTGATAGGTAGTAAGCGGGTAAAATTGTCATTTGAAGGAAAAATAGGTTGTTGTAGGGTAACCCTAGCTGCCAATATCACGATTCCTCCGTGTAGCGAAATTATTACCATGTGTGATGTTGTTGCATCTGTATATGAGGAAGTGCCAAACCTGGGTGTTATTGAACCGTCAGATCGTTGTATACAATCAGATCGGGGTTTAGAAGCCAGAACATTGATCAGAGGTAGCAAAGTCACTCCTTTCAGACTTAAGAATTTATCTACAGAAACAAACAGTTTGTATAAATGGACATTTGTTGCCACCCTGCCAGCTGTCATCAGTGTTTATGAAAAGAGCAGTCACATTAAAAGGATAGGAGAACTGCCCACTTATCTACAAGACTTGTATCACCGGTCAGTCAAGGAGTTGACCAAAGAGAATGCCAAGGCAGTCAGAAAATACTGGCATCTATTTGCTGCGACTGATGCTGACCTCGGACAAACAAAGACGACGGCACGCACTATCGATACTAGTACGAGTACTCCGATAAAGCAGCACCGAAAACAATTACCCATACATATGCGGGAAGAGGCAGATCGTCATGTTGAAGACATGCTAGAAAGAGGAATTATAGAAGAGTGCACCAGTCCCTGGTCGTCTTCAGTTGTGTTGGTCAAGAAAAAGGATGGAACGACTAGGTTCTGCATTGACTACAGGAAGCTAAACAACGCAACTGACAAAGACGCTTATCCTCTTCCGAGGATAGATGACTCCCTAGGTCAGTTATCGGGTGCAAAGTATAATTCCACATTAGATTTAAATGCTGGGTATTGGCAAGTGGAAGTATCAGAAAAAGATCTACCGAAGACTGCGTTTGCAACAAGAAAAGGGCTTAACAGTTTTAAAGTTATGCCTTTTGGGCTTTGTAACGCCCCCAGCGACGTTTAAGCGTCTCATGGAACTTGTGCTAAGAGGTCTTCAATGGCAGATATGCCTTGTATACCTTGACGACATCATTGTTATTGGAAAAACGGTACGAGGGTCGTTCAATAAAAAATGCAACGAACAGAATATCATAGCAAATGTAGATCTATTTACAATTATTTTTTCACAGTTGAAATGTTCAATTAAAGAGCTCCTAATCACAGATAACCCCATGATTTTTCCTATTGTCCTCACAAAGAAATTCACTTTTCAAGTACGCATGGTCACTACACTGAGCTCAAAACTGTTTAATATGATCTCTGCCAAGAAGATGAAAATGAGAGCGTATGTGAAAATTGTGCTTCTTTACATAAATCGCCGAGGAACTCATATAAAGATATGATTTTTATATGTGGAAAGAATTGTCTTTAACGTTGTATAGTTTTCAGATTATTTCAGAAATTCAAAAGTAAGAAAAGGAGGGTTAAAATATAAAAGTCAAATGGTCGATTGAAATTTTAGGGACACCAAAGATTATTGATGTTGTGTGCAATATGATATCTGAAAATGTCTGATTTACATCCTAAGCCATTGCTAGAACACTTAGCATTTCATCGTCATAACAATTTATAGAATTCTGACAACGGAAATGAATAAAATAATATTTCTATCAGATAGGTGCCTTATTTTCTTAAAATTGCATAAGAGAAAATACGCATTTAATGTGCCAACGGTCTATTTAAAAACAAATGTTTTAACAAAATAGAAGATTTGTTAAATTTGCGTGATGGATGACGAAACATGGATGCACTTTCTACAGCCAAAAATGAAGATCAATAATAAAATGTGGAATCAAAGAAAAAGCTATCGTTCTTATTATTGTAAAGAGAAACAAGGGCTCCAAGCATATTTTTTGAAAACATTCAAAAGAAGGTTAATTTGTACAATTTTAGATACGTCATGGAAAATGTTTTTCATCAGTTTCCGTTCTCTAACTTTTGCAAGGATGCATGTATGAGGTCGGAATTGCTTATGCAGGTATTTCACCAGAAAATACAGGTCAAGTTTGAATTTAGCCGTGGTTCGATGATTTTTGACAGATTCATCTCTCTTGAACTTAAAAAAAAGTACGAAAATTTCAGTTTGCGTTCTCTAACCTTTGCAGAAATGTATATATAAGGATAGAATTGCTTATGCAGGTATTTTACCAAAAAATACAGTTCAAATTCGACAAACAAGTTTAAAACAAAATATTGCATTTGAATTTTCGGCTGCCTTCTGGGGACATTCATGACATTACGACACATCTAGATTTCTTTTAAAATCTTTTCTTTATGTTTTTATGTTTTTGTTCTCTTTGGTTTTCAATGTTTTTTCCTCGATGATTATTTTTTTCTACATACACATGTATTATTAAGAAGGATATGAATGTCTATTATTAGTAAAGTGGATGAATGCAGTAAATCTTTTTGTTGTTTATAAATTATTTGTCAATGGAAGATATCCTATGTAGACTGTAACAAGAGGCCCATGGGCCACAATACTCGTTTGAATCTCATTTGCCCTGCTGTTCTTCGTCCGAAGAAAAATTCTCCCACCTTAGTCACATGAAAGAATTCTAATTTTTAAGCCTATTGATTTTTTTTTTAATTTTGCTTTCTGTTTGAGATGAGTACACATAGCAATACGTATTGTTAGAAGAACTTTGTAGTCGATGAGCCGTGTTTTGACCCTGTTAACGGAGATAAAAGATAAGAATAACAACCTTGTCATAAACGGTTTTGCATAAAACTTATCGTAGAAGAGAAAAGTAATAAGCAGTTTGCGGTTGCATTTCCTCTGAAAGCATACAATGACCGAAATCCTGGGGAGGAGCTACTCCATGTAATTAGGAGTTACATGTAGTTACCTTGTGTTTTTTATACTTCGAGGTAAAAAATTCTTAAAGAAAAAGTGCCAGTGATCAGCCCTGTAGAATCATTCCATCATTATAGGTGAAAAAAAACACTCAACGAGTTGGATAAATTCATATCCTACCTACACTGATGAGAGTTTTTTTTAATAACATGTCCCACATATCTATCACAGTTTTAGTTTTACACAGTTTTTAAAATAAATTAATCAATTTTATTTGACATCACTATTTCAAAGCAGAAACCATTATAATGTCACAACTATTGGTACGAAAATGATACCATATAAACTATATCCAATGTAAAAATATTATATAGAATCTTCCATAATTCGTAGTTTGATATGATTTTATCAATTGACTGTGTGTTTTCAATCTCCGAGCCTTGGCGATAAAAACATATCCAACCAAAATTTACTTAATTACAAATTTGTGACATGATTCCTGCAGAAGGGGGGGGGGGGCAATTAAGTACTACAAAGTCATTATCAGTCAGGAAAAATCAAATCATAGATAAAATTGCAAAATTCATACTATCTTTTAGTCCTTATTATTTTATTAGGAGCAATATATTTATTTCCAGAATGTGCATTTAATTGATTCACAAAAGCATGTAAGGTTAAAGTTTTTTCCAGCTGTTCATTGTATATATTACACTGTACGTTGAATGTGATTGTGTAGAAGGTAAAGCCAGTTTTGGGGTCCTCTCCAAATGAAATTGGTCAAATCATTATGAAAGGCATTTGCAGTTTACGAGATTATGGCACAAGTATTTGAGACATTTTGTTTCTAAAACAAACGTACTGTGTTGTTGATAATTCATTCACTTTCGTCTTGACTGGAAGAGGTACAACGAGAGTTATCATATTTCAAGTTTAATTGCTTCTCTTCTGAAAGGCGAGAAAGAGCTGTATTTAGACGTAGACAAACTGTGGCATTTAGGACCTCGGTCGAACTTTCGTCTCTGACTTCATTTATTCCTCCAGTAACGAGGCCCAGGGCAGACACTGATCTCTGGTCAGGAGATTTGTCGTGTTGGAAAACCATTGAGCCAGAGTCGCCTTTTGCAGAGAAGGGATGATCATGGGACTCTAAACTTGAGACTAGGAATGAAACAGGGAACATTTCCTTTCTATTTTCGAACAGCTTAGAATAAAACTCCGAGCTCAAGATCCGACCATCAGTAAAGTTAGTTGTTGCTCCCATTTTACGTACGACGACATTCGACGGTATGATTTCTTGGTGAATTTTTACATTGCATGGATCTTCCATTCTATTCAAAAGGGTTGTATCACAGTTTCTTCGTTTGTCTTTTTCTATCTTGAAAACGGCAAAGTCGTGCAAGGGTTCTGGATCTGAATTAATGCATTCAACGATTTTTGAGAGTTCGGAAGTTTCTGGGGATATAATGTACACTTGTTGTTTCTCTTGAGTTAAAGCATGATGACATGTCAATCCATAGACTTCGTCTCTGCCATCGTCTTTCAGCAGAGCTCCAGCTGTGGCATAGGAAAGTTGTGTATTGTCACCTTTCTTATCTAAATATATTTTTTCTCCTTGTTTCACATAACTATGTATTTTTAATTTATCCGATACGATATTAAGTGTTTTTCCGTTAAAAAATTCCGAACTAAGTTTACATAATTCAGATTAAAGGGGCTCGATTTCAGTACTATTCTCTATAAATACCCGGACATTAGAAGAATCCCAGATACCAAAAAAAAAAAAAAAAAAAAAAAAAAAAAAAAAAAAACCAGGTTTTCTAAAAAAAAGTTATAAAAACATATAATAAAAATAATTAAATGATTTAAAGACTATGTAAATGTTAAGATGTTTTATGTAAATTTTATCGAACTGAATGCTTATACCCCAAGTTTCTCATTCTACGATAATTTATCATTGATAAGTGTATGCAAAGCATAGTAATAAGAAGCATACTGAAACAAAAATTCTTTCACAATCTGTGGAATTTGCCTTTCTTTTTTAGAGATTTTTTCTGGTGACATTTGTGATAAAAGTGATAGGCATTCATTCCTTATTTCAGGTATTCCTTCCAGTGATCCCGTAAATCCTTCAAGAAATCCTTGGATGTATTCCTTCAAAGGAATTTGTAGGAAAGAGGTAAGCTCTTCCCGAACGGATGTTGTTCTTCTATACAGTGAAGGATACTTTGATTCAGCAGTGGCTTCGTCTGGTCTGGTGCATTGATTTCGGACAATAAAAGCCTTGGTCCACACAGGTGGTCGTATGGAATAAATGAACTACTCAAAAGAAAGGAAAATCTAGTTTTCTAATATTGTAAAGACTTGTGTGAGGAGCAAATAATTTTATATTGTAAAGATGCAAGTACGTTTTAAATTTGATTGAAAGGTTCATCATCACTTTGAAAATATATGAAGACAGGCCATCGGTTTTCATCTCTGGAAAAACATCCTTTGGTTTCATCTGAAAAATTATACATTATACAGTTATTGACTGGGTATGAGGGCAACATATGATTTGTTGGACTTGAAGGTGAAAATATTGCAACATTTTCACCTTCAGGTCGAACAAATCATATGTTTTCCGAATCCCAGTCTATAACTGTTTTGTTATGTCTTTAACTTAAGATGGAACACTAAATAAAAACCTTTAAATAGATTTACTTAATATATAAACAATTTCTTTATATGTAATATTTTGGTTTATCAATAAAAATAATACAATAAAAATGGGAAAAAATCATAAAATCATTTTATCACAGAAATTATTTATCATAAAACATCGTTTTTTCCCGTGACGTCATCTTTTAAATAGTATACGGTAACTCTTGAAACGTCGGCCATTTCCGTGTTGCCGATATTAAACGACGACTAATTAATTATGACGTAGCAATGATGTTGCGGTCTAACAATTCTTATGTTGGCCTGACAGACCGGTCAACAATGAAAGTGTTAGACCGATGCAAAAACATTTACTTTGTTGAACTTTTTATTTGCAATAAATATATAGAAAGATATTCATAAGGGTATAACAATATACAATAAAATATAAATAGAAAACACAAAAATTCTCCGTAAAGGTAAAATATAAGTAGAATTTTGAATTAAAATCTGCGTGGTCGGAAGAATATGAGATCAACTATGGGAAAGAATCAACAAAAAATAGTTTTCCCACATTTTTATTGATTTAGATTCTGATTAGTACATTGAATCATAGTGACGTTTTGATACTGTCGCGACTTTCAAAAAAAAAAACGTGATGTCACAATAGAAAAACCAAGTAACATAATCATGGCAAGATTCTCTACAACACTGCTCTACAATTGAAATGCAGATAAATTTTTTATTTGAAGCAAACTACTATTTTATTTGCTTGTTTTTTACATAACAAAACAATTATTGCTTGCGTTTTCGAGCAACAGCGATTATGGTAGCCTCCTTGGGAAGAAAATATTGCCTCCGAAGCTCCGCGTCGGGTAATATTTCATACCTTGGAGGCTACAATAATCACTGTTGATCGAGAACACAATATTTGTAAAATATATTTATAGAGGGAGAATACCCTTTGAGGAAGTAATGAGCATCTCTGTTTCTGTTGTAATTTCTCCGGCTATGTAAAGTTGAACTCTGTTGACTCCTATGGGTGCATAAGTTTCCTCAAATTGTCTAAAAGCTCATATCTTTTATACAACATTACAAACAAGATGATGGTGATAACAGAGACGTGGAAAACTGCTGATCGAGTACCATCTCTCCTCATACAGAACCGGACAACTTTCTGAAATATCAATTACGGTCAACTATAATAATTAAAGTTGCAAAATGAACGTTATTCAAAAGTTAAACACGGCGTCCTATTTTGGCTGACTTGTTCGATAGCAATTGTTAGGTCTGTGTTTTATACTGAATTTGACTACGGAAAGTTCCGTCTACATGATCAATACACACGGCTTAAGGTTGGTGTGACCGGTCAACAGGGGATGCTTATCCTTCTAGGCACCTATAGAATTTCCAGGGTCCGTGTTTCACACCCTCTTCACATATTTGTAATGCTTATGATTTTTTTTTTTTTAGATCGATCACTGTTCATTATCTTCACCTTTTACCTTCACATTGAAATAGATTATTTCAAATTCTAAAATTTCACATTGTAATCTCTTAGTTTTCAAACACATCATAAATGCATATTTTCTATTTTTCGAGTTCTTAATATATTATGCAATAACTGATTTGCACAGTATATAAAATTAATGATTTTCTTTTGATATACATGTAACATGTTACTTTATTTTCTTATTCTACAGCTTTGTTTCTCACCTGATTTAGATTTCTGTTTTCTCTCACTTTCCACATTTTTGCTTCGTATCTCTGAGGTGTCAGATAATGTTTTTGATATCGGTGTCTAAAATAGAAAGAATTATTTTCTTTATTTGAACATGTATTTAAAATTGAAAGTATTATTTTAAGTAAACTTTTTTTATATATATTTTATTCAATATTTGATAAAACATCACTTCGCATATTAGAAAAATAAATGAGAGAATCGATGTTGATCCCATGAAAGAAAGAAACAAAAATAACGAAAGAACTATTGGATACTTGCTTTTGGTTGACTGGGTGGAAAGACCCTAGACAGAGAGACAAGAACAATGTTACAGGAGAGGACAATTCTATAAAAGACAATTGTATGTTTATTAACTGTAATTAGAGATAAATTTACATTTACATGTAAGATAAAAAGTATACAATACACGTTCGTGTGTTCAACCTACTGTGAGACAAATAATTTTGGTAGTTTTTTCTTAGTATTTCTTGTGCTTAATTATTATTCTTATTGAATATACATTTTGTAAACATGTTCGTTATGAACATCTTTGTCATTGCTCTGCGCACTAGGGGTAGTATTTGACCAAAATAATGAATCCTTGACTCAATTATTTAAAAATTTAATTCATGTAGACATTCTTACATATTTCCATTAAGTGGTTGAACATGCAATTACAAATATCGGACCACAGCCATAAAAATTTCACGTTTTTAGGTCACCTGAGTCACTCAGGTGACCTATTGCTATCTGATTTCGTCCGTCGTCGTGCGTCGTCCGTCGTGCGTCGTCCATCGTGTGTTAACATTTGAACATTTTCAGCTTCTTCTCTGAAACCGCTGAATCAATTTCAGCCAATTTTAGCATATGGCATCTATGTGTAAAGGGGAACAAAGTTTTTGAATATCATGGTCCCTGCCTCCCTGGGGCCTGAGGGGTGGGGCTAAAACCACCAAATTTAATGCAATCTTTAAAAATCTTCTTTACTCCTGGACATCAAGCAGTCAAACTGTTGGCAGCATTGTAATAAGCATTGAGCCCTCTACCAAAATTTTGAAATTCATGGCCCCAGGGTCAGGGGTTCTGGTGCTAGGGTGGGGCTATATAGATCATATAGTGAAAGTGCATTATTTCTTTGAAAATCTTCTTCTCTACTCCTGGGTATTACTGAAACAAATTAAATACATAGTTATGATAAGCAAGAGTGTCTCTAGCAAAATTGTGAAATTCATAGCCCCAGGGTCAGGGGTTCTGGTGCTAGGAGGAAGGGGGGGGGGGGGCTACATAGATCAAATAGTGAAAGTGCATTATTACTTTGAAAATCTTCTTCTCTACTCCTGGGTATTATTGAAACAAATTAAATACATAGTTATGATAAGCATGGGTGACTCTTCCAAAATAGGGATTTTCATGACCCCTGGATCAGGGGTTCTGATGTTAGGGCCGGGCTCTATTTATTATGTAGTGAAAATGGATTAATGCTTTAAAAATTTTCTTCTCTGCTCCTGGGTATTTTTGAAACAAACAAAGTATATTGTTATGATAAGCAATGATGCCTCTTCCAAAATTTTGAAATTCATGGCCCCATGGACAGGGGTTCTGGTTATAGGGTGGGGCTATATAGATCCTATAGTGAAGGTGAATTTTTTCTTTGAAAATCTTCTTCTCTGCCCCTGGCAACAATGTACTTGAAAGGTTAATAGAATAAGAGAATTATGCAAGAATTTTTATTGTATAATACAAAAAGTATTTTCCTAGTTTTAATGATCAGGTAGACTTGTAAGTAATAGATAAATAAAAATGGAACAAAAATAACTTGTCTTATTGAATGATCATCAAAGACCAAGAGAGGCCAATGTAGGAGATTTCAACAAGAAATTAAAAGAGTACAGAAGCACTGATGGGTTTTTAATATACTGTATAGTGAAAGTGATAAATGGGGAACAGATTAGAACCTAATTTATAAACTGTCAATGAATACTGGATTTTGTTGATCCTGATCACCCTATTTTTCTTGCTTTTGGGCAACAAAGCTTCACCTTTCAGTTCATTTTATACTCTGTTGATCATCTAAATTGTTGTATTATACTCAGGTGACCGTTAAGGCCCTTTGGCCTCTTGTCTTCATATAAATATTCAGATAGCTGCCCGAAAAAATACACCGAGGTGCCACAAAATTTTTTCTCTGAAATCAACAATTTAAAATAAAATTCGGCTTCCACATAAACAAGAG